TACCTCTCTGGCGTGGGTGTCAAATAATTATTTTGCTACTAATAGACGAAGAAAACGTTCCCGTGCAACATATTACGTCACATATATATATGACGTCATTTGAACGTCGCTCAAGCATCATGGCAGCGGTAAGCCTAGATGAACTGCGTGTATATACCCTTAACTACCTTAAATCCGCGACGCTAAGGATTCTCCGGCGTAACAAACAATAAAAGGTCAACAAGTACAAAATATACCTCACTCACCTGCTAAAAAATTTATTTCCTCATAATCCTCACGAATATTTCACATGAATAATCTTCAACAAGTGTCAATGTAACATTTTGTTTATATTCATCAATGGAAGGCGGCCATTTTGTTTCACTTCCCGCCATTCGCGGATGTGACGTTATCCCATATTTCTTTGCAAAAAAGTACAATTAGGCCATATCTAAGTTTGAATATTTGGTTTTGGTGACTAGAACATTTAATTAAAATTTACTGTTTTAACACATTTAACAGATTAACAGTAATATGAAAGTAGGTGCTACCTAAACAGTGAAAATTGAATTATACTTTTTTGTTGAATGAAATGTTTCTGTTGGTTAGAGACTGACATGTCTCATACTACAGAACATGTGTCAACATTATTTACAAAATAAAGTGTGTTGCAAAATAAAATTTAATTGATATTATGATAACAATCAGTGATGAAGAAGGTGATTTCATTTAAATTTTTGTTTCAATATGTAAATATATGTGGTGTTTAAAGACAGTAAACATTTAAAATTGAATAACACTTTTTTGTTGAATAAAATGTTTCTGGTGGTTAGAGACTGACATGTCCCACACTACAGAACATTTATCAACATTACTTTAAAAAACAAAATTAGATTAACAGTATAACTTATGTACAAAGTGATGCATGATTGTTTTTACTGTTTACTCCTCTTGTGGACAGAAGAACTTATCTCCCCTTCTGACCACTCTAACATCAGTGCAAAAACAGAGATGGGCTCAATGCAAACCATTCTTAACACCATCACACTGGGCCCACTTAGTAAAAATCAAGGAAGTGGACTCAGATACATCCTTTAGGGTAAATAAATTGCAAACGCAACATTTGTCTTCATCATTTTACACATCAGATTCAGATGATTCAGAGCTAATGGCAGCAAAGTTTATGTGTGAAGGACCAGGTTGAGGATCTTTAGAGGGTTTTGAGATTTTTTGCTTTGTACTTTTTTGTTTATTTTTCCATTTAATATAGGTTTCTTAACAGATTTAGTAACTGGTTTTTGAGACTCATAGTCTTTTAATTTTTCATGTACATCATTGGTGATTTCTTTACCTGCAACAATTGTGCTTACATTTCTTCTACTTTTTTATATTTGTAGACTTTGTTTTATTTTCTTTAGGCTCATTTTCCTTAACTGCAAACATTTCATACCTAGCATGATCTACATAAATACCACCTTCAACTGTTGCATCCGAACCACTGTCACTACAAACATAAAGCTCTGCAGGAATGAGTCCTTTTTTGGTACTGTTTCTCTATCAAGTGGATAAATACCAGGATGTTTAAACCCGGACTGGAGATTTTCAGACTTTAATGCTTGAAGATGTACCTTACAAGCAAGAGAACAAATGTTATATCTTGTGACAGATGCAGCTGCTTCATGCATTAATTTGTGACACGCATTATTGTACATGCGTTGAAAAGGACCACAACAAGCTCAATCTAAAGGTTGAAGTATGTGACTTGTATTGGCTGGGATTATGGAAAATACGATATTATTTTCTCGTGCCCAGTCAACTAGTCCGACAGATATGTGATCGATGACCATCTAAGATCAAAAGAACTTTTTCGCCATTACAACCAGGAATGTACTTTACAAAGTGATTCTTCAAGAAATCTTTGAAAATGGTGCCATTCGACCAACCAGTCTCACTCATAGTGCCTGTAGTACCAGGAGTAGAACCTTGAAGAAGGTCTGACATAAGTCTTTTACCATGGAAGACCAAGTATGGTGGCAAAGCATAACCACTTGCACTTCCACAACCAATAAGTGTGACTGTCTTTCCTTTTCCTGATGTCAGGAGAGGAGAATGGTCAGAACTGGCAATAACAGAGGGAGGTGTGTGGTCACATGTAAGGCCTTTTCATCAACATTGAAAATAAAATGAGGCTTATCAAGGGGGTCATGTTTCTTTAAACAATTTTCAAGATTATCAAAATAATCCATGACAATGGACTCCTTAGTCATTTTGGCACGGGCATATTCTAAGGATCTAGGGTTCAACTTCTTCATTTCAGGCCACCTATTTTGAAACCCTCCAACCAATGAAATGATAAGACTTGAGACTTGTTTCCCCCTTATTCGTCGGACATGAGTCCCGGTGACTATGACATTTTTCGTAAACTAATAATGGCATTCAGGGGTGTTAGCTCTAATGACTTAGATAAACTTAAAGTTGCCGTGGCCACGGAGCTTCAACTAAATTATAGAAGATGTTAAATGCGTGTACAGTAGTGCTTCATCACTATAGTCTGTCCCACCAAATTTGAATATTTCATTTTCTATTAAATATAATAGTAAAATCTTTTTAATGTCATGATAACACTGACGCCAATATCTCTAGACATGTTTTTCTTTTTTTTTCCAAAAAGTCAGTAATATGGTCAAAATGTTAAAATTATATTTTTCCCATTGACTTACGTTGTTACCTGACTTGACGTCCATTTCAAAATGACGGCGCCCATACTGACGTCATCTAGGGTTCGTCTCACAATTAGCGTGATATCTACTCAGTTATTATAAAAATGACTATTCTAATTTACTTACTGATCAATAGCTAAATGTTATCATTAAATAAAATGTGAGAACAAAATTGGTGTCAAAAAGGCAATTTTACTAGCAAACCATAATTGTTTAAAATAATCGCCAAATAAAATCATTTGAAGTGAAATACCAGTCACCGCTTTATAAATTCTAACATACAAAAGATTTATATAGTTATCATGATAAACGTCGTATTTTGAGAAGAAGAGCGATGAAATGATTTGATTAGATCTATCAAGCGGGCGTATCTTGAATACTGCAACGTGTCGTACGAGATCGGTTACACTAGCTAGAAGAAAAAGGTTCTTCGCTTATGTTTAATTTACATAATTCTGTAGTTGTCTGAATTGTGTCCATCAGAACAAATTATATCAAGTCTATTCGCAAATAATTAAACTGACCAGGTCCGATGTGATACAATAATATGTTTTGCTTCCACGGACAGCGATATTTTGATACTTCGTCTAATGCCTATCTGTAAAGGACGGTTTGATTGCATGGCTCAAATAGCTTTCTCAGGAAATCAAAATTACAATGAAAGTGAAACAAATACGGTGGCAATCTACATGCAGGAAATGAATTAAGTTGATCTGAACTTAAGTCAGATTGGAATTAATTGATTAAAGAAAACATATATTATTTTGAAACAATTATTTTTACATATAATTGATATCAATATCTGATCACATTAGGCTAAACACAGTCAAAACAAAATAGTGTAGAACGTGTATAGCCTTTATTCCCGTATCGGTGGGACTCATTGTGGCGGTAATTCATACTGCGTAGTTACGCTATGTTTGTATCATGCAAATGAAATCACGTCAAAATATATTATGGTCATGCATAAAGCAGCACATATATGTAAGACAAATTTCTTGTAGCGTTGAAATATAATGATTACATAACTTTAATGATAGTCACGTATTTGTCTGTCTTTTTGTTGTATCTTATTATATGACATGAAAAAGGGAGACGTATATTTTAATTGGTTATAAGTGCGTATGTACTTTTTGTCATGGGTAATTGTCTTTTTTTTACTAACTTTATAGACCCTTTGTTAAAATGCATTCAGTATGCATTGCATTCACGATAAAGGAAGTTAAGTTGTTCATAACTTCCTAGTACATTTTCAATTTCATGTAGGGAATTCCACTGATTAATAATTTGATATGTTTACGAGTACTTATTATATCATTACGGAAATTCCCTAGTTTAACCAGAACATTAGTCACATTACAGAATTTTAATATGTTTTTAGATCATATTTTACTAGCACGATTGACAACACATATATATTCTTAACTTGAAATTGCTCAATCGTTTTAACATTTACGGTACAACGAATATTTTTAACAGTTACAATAAAATATTATGTCCTGATATAAAAAATCATAGTTAATACATTTTGTATTTTGAAGTTATTCTCGTTATCTTATATCATACGCGTTGAACCAAATCTTATATTAATGATAACAGTTAACATGTCTATTCATATGTATACATATGTACATTTGTGTAGTGGAATATATGTTCCATGTTCCAATATATTGAAAACTTCAACTCTTCATTTTAGCATTGGTGTATTTTCTTGACTGCTATAAAAAATCTAAAAAAATATTAAGTCTAATTGAAAATTATCTCCAAACTACAACGAGCCAAATAAATACATGTATTATTTGTTTACATTGAAACTGATTATCGTGCATCGTAAATTTGACTGTTATCTCTCTTTTCCTTATACCAGTACATCTACTTGTCAAAGGTAAACAATTCTGTTTATCAGATCTCTTAGTGTTTTTTAGATCTAAGTTCTTACACTCAAACAGTTTTCTAACACCGTGTCGGATATAATTGTGTTTTATTTATATTGCAGTTGGTATATGACCCTCAGCTGCGCTTCGGGCCATATACCTTCCTCAGTCTGACCAACCAGTCCGTAAACTTGCATATTGCCCTCAAGGCCATGTTTTATTTGTTAAATAAAGACGAAGTATGTGTTACAGAATAATATTTTCATTATTCCATGTAATGTATGGTTATTAATGTAATAATTTAGCATTTACATAACAAATTGACATCCCAATAGAAAATGGAATACATTTGATATTATAATGGAGTATTGAGAACAAAAAATGAAAACATGAATAGCCAAGATGAACCATTAAACAAAATACAAACTAGATTGCTGGTATGATTTTACTGAAACATAAGATGAGTTACAAATGTATGTTGTCATTAATTATGTGATATTTTGAACCATTAATCTATTCAAAATTTACAAATACAGTTTCACTTATATCATCAAGTCAATTTTCCAAATCCAGATACTTTCACTGCCAAATTTTCTAACATTTATATAGAATCAAGAATCAATTTTGTTACATTTAGTTATCAAATTGACCATGTGACCATTGATACCTAAACAGCGCAGGTATGCAGACAGCAATTTTTATATACGTCAAGTCAAGTAATTTTTGTTAAGTGAGGGTCCATCCGCCCGTAAAGGCCTAACAATTAGCTTTCACTGTCGAGTAGGGACCCTTGATATGTCAACATTTATGCCCTTTAAAGTTTAATGTTCAAGAATTTACTTCCGTGCATTGACCGAAGAAATGAATTTTGAGCTGAAAGTAGGGCACTGTACAGAGGTCAATGAGCACCTTAACGTACAGTTACTTGTAATAATAATGCAGGGCTGTTTGTGCCAAGCAAAGGGTCTGCCTTCAAGTCGTCACTGCGTTATAGCGACTCATGCACCCTAATACCCTTCCTCGTCGTTCTTGTCTACTTTTTTGTACGGCCGCTCTCATCGGCTTCAGTCAAGACATCGGCAGCTGGTTCGTAGATTGCGAGTAGTTACACTCCCCAATTCTGAAGTGATAGTAGTTTGACCCCTATGTTCAGCCCTCTATGTTCAAAACCGCGCTTGGATCTTCACCAGTTAATGTGTCTTAGGTGAATTGAAATTCAACCGAGCTAAAAAGTTCTACCGATGCTGTGTGCCTCTCAACAACGTGCACGTACTGAGGAATGAGAGGGCTATGTTTACATTTCCAGCTTATCGGCTACATTTTGTTCCGGGGTTAACATGGGTATGACACAATTGTAACAGAACATCAAACACCCGTCGTCTTTCTGTTTTCTAATCAGATAACTTCCTGTTCTACTTTTCCTTCGTTTTTTACAATAATCTAACGCATGAATGATATAGTTCTTACAAATGTCCTGTAATTAATCCTTTAAATCATCAAGCTTATAAGTTACAGCGCTGCTTAGCTGAACCCAAACCGTAGATTATTACACAAATTAAACTCAAAATTTATATTTTTACTTCAGAAAAGTATTCATGTAAATGTAGTACATTTTACCTGATAAAACACCGATATTTAGAATAGAGCAATATCGGTTACGTACAGACCATACATTTTTGTTAACCTTTATGCTTTTGTTCACTGGAAAAAGTACTTATATCTAAAACTACAATAACATGTTAAGAGTTACAGCAGTTGAAGTTTATCTACATATGAGTACTTATAGCATAAGTACTGTCATCTTTTGAACGCCAACCTTCATAAATCATTTTCTTCAGTATAATAACATCCAGATTAGACAAGTTTAGCTCTTGCCAATCACTAAATCCTCTGAAGAAGGAACCATCTAATTTTTTATCATAGCATATATCAGCAAGGCTTTTCAATCCGCAGTGCTCAAAACAAAATGAAACTTCTTTGACAGTATAGTTGTAAAAGTCTTCCTCGGTTTGGTTTTCTTGTAGGACTTTTTTCACTTGTCCAACTTCAAGATATTGTTGCGATTTGTCAGGTATGTTTTTCGAGTATCCCAACGGCAACGAATCACCATAAACATCTAACGACTCATAAACTCTCGAAGGTTTTGTGACTTCTAGTTTGGTATATTTGTTATCACGAGTAGTATTTTTTCTTTCTGGAATGGAGGGCAATGATCTTTGTAGCTGATCCCCTGCCAGTATCTTTTCTTGCTTGGTACTCCCTATAATTTCCGTCTCTACCATTTCAGTTGATTTCTTGTATTTAGGAGGCATGCCTTTCTCGCCTGTATTGGCTCTGATGGATGCTTGCATATTTCCAAACATTTTCTTACGATCATCTATCACTGACGTAATTATCTAAATTAAATTGATGATAAATATCTAATAAGCTAATGTTCACAAAACATTTTAGAAGTCATTATTGATGTTTTAAATATATTCAATGATATCAATCTAAGTATGGACATTTCCATTAAATATGTGTTAAATTTATTTATTGGTCTTGTATAATATTGTTTATATTTTTAGTTTTTGTCATATTTTAAATGTAGTAATATACTGAATGATTTATACAGTAATGTTTTCACCTTAGAGTCAGTATTCCCTCTTTCTGCAATAAAATAAAACATTATTATTATTATTATTATTATTATTATTATTATTATTATTATTATTATTATTATTATTATTATCATTATAAAAAAATAAGAAGTTTAATCAAAAATTTTATTTAGATAAATCTACAAGTTAGCGTAATATTTTAAGCAAAGCATTTCTGTATAATGTCAAATATTATCGAAAATGATAAGCCATGTTGTTTTCCGTTTCGAAGCACTTAGCTTGACATTTACCTGGAATTCTTGGAACTGGTTCTTCAATGTCTTGATAGATGTTTTCATCATCCGAGGAATCTTAAAAGAAATTCTTATACTATACTTCATATAAATTACTTTATGGTATTCAGTTTCGATATGCTAAAATCTCCCATTTTCACTCATACTTGAGTTTTAACTGTCGTCCTGCAACATTTCAATCTTGCCGTGTTATGCAACCTTAAAAATTTCCATTTTGATTTCATTTAATGTATGAAACAGAAAAAAAATGAAAGAAACTAATCCTTAATCAATGTTTGATTATAAATGTTTTTTCTGTGTGTTTCTTTTTTGTATTTATTTTCGAAAAAAAAATCTTTCAATTATATAAGTCTTAAAGTAGCAAGATTTTTACCATAGAAAGGCAGTCTGATAACGTCATACAAAGTATTCCCCTCCAGGTGTTGTTTGAAGAATTCAGGACATCTTAGCCAAGTTACTTCTGAAGCATCATTTTGCATAAAATAAAGTGATTTCGATACGAATTGTGAACGTAAACAGGATCCGAACTTTTTCGTTAAGTGTTTCTCTCTATCGTCCTCACTGTGTAAACAACGTTTCTGAGCAGAAACTTTATTCCACAACTGTCTCGGAATTAATACTGTTTCAAAAGTCTTCAGGCGTTTTTGTCTTGTCCAGCAAGTGAGATATTCAACATTTACAAAATCTAATATCTCAATCGGCCCTTCCACTATTGTACACATAGCACTTCTTAACGTAACGTCTTTCAATGCAATATTATGTGGAGTTATTTCATGGAATACAATTACTTTCGGGAGCAAATTAATTTGAGGCAGTGAGTTCAGACTATACAGAGTATCCTTTTCCACGATTGTAAAATTAACGTTATCGTTCTCACTAAATGTATATGTTTGAATACCATCGCTGAATTCTGCTTCCGTATGAATACCCGAATAACTGTGAAGTATGTTCTTAAGTTCTAAAATTGCCATTGCCTTGATTGTGACTTTTTGTTTCTTGTCATTTGTAAGAAATGCCTCTGCATCTTGTTCAACTTTCACAAATGCTGGACAATCATCGATAACCTGCCATTCATAACAAAATAGTAACATCAGCTCCCTGAATTTAAGGTATAAATATGTTTTACTAAAACACTTATAAAGCGTACACCCAAACAAAAGGCATTTAGTAAAATGAACTATGCTAAATGGCAAGTTATTGTGTATCTGTAAAAAGTATGACAAAGCAGAGTATGCTCTACATAATAAACATGTTTGTGAAAAATCAAGGTGATTTTTCTGCCCAAAAAAATCACAAACCTTTTTCGCTAGAGCACTTGGTGACGAAAGCACAAAAAGTTTGGTTATAATTCCTAAAGTTTTAAGTTAAAAGTTAAAGTTATAGGCGAAATTGAAAACAGAAAAGCATTCTTTATATCTATCATATGTGGAAAAAACCTTAACTCAAAAGGTAACGACTCAGACTAAATTACCAAATCACAAAACATTGGCAATATGTGTAACAAAAGTTCTGCTACAGGTTTTGGTGGTTAGCCCTAGAGTTATGTAGAGTAAAAATAGTCTCAAAATTGTGCTAAATAGCCCTAATTCTGCTCCCCCTTGAAAATCAAATCACAAAATCTCATCAATTTGCTCTATATTAATTTATGACAACAGTGCATCTTAATTAAGAGCACGATGTATTCAATAATTGTAAATTCTACTCATTTCCGATAACGGAAAGCTCGGTTTTGAACAAATTTTTACTAAACATGCAACATATTCAACTCAACTCTAATATTTTATTAACGTCTCATCTTTGTGCTTCTTTATATTGTATTCATTTGTAAGCTTCGACATCAAGCTATTGACAATTTTTCCAACACGCTCACGCATGCATTTGATAGATAACAAGAAGCAAACCATTCAACGGCATTGATTTGAATGTAAGGAAAATACGTTGTATACATTCGCCATTTGACAAAACTCAGACTAAACAACGTTTCTACAACTATTTATTTAATTCACTAACCTGTTTAATTGTTAGATATCTTCCACGACTTCCGGGTCTACGCACTAGCTTAACGTATCCTGGAAACTCCAGTGGCATAAGATATTCATTTCCTACAAATGTATCATGCTCTAACACATATTCTGCACCTTTATGTCTTTGAATCTTTTCATTATCATAAAATTGCAAAACTTTTACATGTGCAAAAAGTTCTTTCGACGTCTGTTGAAAAAGAATTTCTGTTCCTTTTGGAATATCAATTAGCGTTGTTCGACTTCCTGTTTGGCATATCCTTACAGAAATTGGTAACTTTTCTTTACTTACGAGCTCATCGATCGTTGATTTTTCGTCGTCAAATTTTAGGTCCTTGTATCTCGTAGAAAACATAGCTGCTGTTTAAATGGTTAATCATCTAAACTACTTATGTAACAAACAATATAGAGTATTTATCTGCTACATTCAACTTATCTGTTAAATTCAACCGTATTATGCGCATATTTTAACATTACACATTTGCTATCTCTTTGGGTAGATATCGATTTACAAAAACCTAGGTTAGATAACAAACGTACTGTACCGCTATGATAATGTGAGGGGTGACGTCGGCTTTTTTTGTGTACACAAAAGTAAACAATCTTTGTCTGAATAGGTAAAACAGGTATTTTAGAAGCGAATCTAGTACAAGTTAAAAAATAGAGTTTTAAATGTCTGGATGGCAAAGTTGTTAAAGTCATTGGGGTGCAATACAACTTAATTTGTTCACGAGTTCGAGCCTCACAAGTTGTCTAAATGATATTGTTTTTTTTCTTTTTTGTTTCCCTATTTTTTTCAATTTTACTAAATTTTTACCAAAAAAGATTTTACAAATTGAAAAGACCAATATCGCACATGTTTAAGATGTTAGTAAAGAGTATTCAACTTTTAGTTTTTGAAAAATAAAACTACATTATTTATTTCATGTATGCACAATGAATATAAGTTTCAGCCTACCAAAATTCCTCCTTCTGGAGCAACACTGGGCTAATTAAAATGGTTGTAAACAGGTATACAAGTAGAGAAGCCGGAAACAGATTTATCTATAAAAAATATTAATTGATAATAGCTTAGTAAAGTTCTCAGAAACAAAATCGTAGGCATAAATCTTGCTGATGTCGAATAACCATTCATTTCTGATATCCCTCCTTAAAATTATTTAACAATGAAAACCTTAATTATCACATGAATTACTTACTTCATATAGGTACCACGTGATTAACTTCAATGACTTACTATCACATGATATATAAAACATCAACACGGCTATATACTATGATTTATGAATTATTTACACAAACAACAACAACAACATAAATTTTATTTAGCTCGACCCTTTATAACAAGCATGTGAGCATACAGTGAATAATTTGTGATACTGTTTGCTTAACGGGGTTGAAAATAGTGATAGTGTTACTCCATTTGGTATTTTGAAAAGGACTATAATATCTTGTTCGGGAATTTTCCATGTTCGGATATTGGGTGACTGAAACTTATATTAAAAGTTACACTTTTTTAACAGATATATGAATTATGAACATAATTAACTCTATATAGTATTGTTATTAAATGGAACAGAGTTTACGTATATTGTATGTGTACAGACTTAAGTAAATCAGTGACAATTTGAGCTGCACCGAAACTTCGCTATCCCCCAAAAGTTAATGTAATCGCGAGTGAAATTTTGTGAACCTCGCGTGATATAAAAAAATCAATAATTGATTGTCAACGAAAGGTCATAAATTTTCGACAAAAACTGGAATATGAAAGTGAATTGAGAGGCTATATTAGAGATAAAAGCTATCGTAAAAGAAGTATAAGACGTTTTTCAAGAAGTTAGGACTTGTTAACCCTTTTCAATAAGTAAAAAATTTGTAATATAATTACTAACGTGCCAAGGAAGTTTTACATGAAGCAAAAATGATATTTCAAGAGATGAAAGGAATCGGATATAAATTTTGATAATCAACTGCATGAGAAAAAACAAAAGAAATATTGAACAAACAAGTGTAAAATGTTAAGGAAAAAGGCATGATCATTTACCGTGGAAAAAATGAGTTGTTAAGGAAGAGGGTTTGACCTATATTCAACATGAAAAAAAGAAGAGTAGACAAGGAAAAGGCTTGAAAAAAAGTAGAGTGGACAAGGAAAAAGGCTTGGGCTATATTTAACATGGGAAAAATAAGAATAGAAAATGACCATATGACAAAGAGTTAATATACACACAATATCAATTAATTGACAATTCGCATTACTGTCCTAGCATGATCACCACCAAAGAAAGGAAAAAAGATCATAATATTTGTATATAACTGACGAACTACACTGATAGTATTGACAAGGAAGGAGGAAGGGCAAATGGAATAGTAAGTAGGGCATTACATTTATTGGTGTACAGATCCTATGACAGTAGAAACGTTTTATAGAGAAATGATTTATGTGATTCCTCATGGTTTAACCGTTTCAAAAATAATTCTAACAAGAATTTGTAACAGAGTTACCAACGTCCCCCGTCTAAGGGAAGTTTTACATGAAGCACACAATTGTGATATTTCAAAGATTGAGGTATGGATCTTGACTTTCAGTGCAAAATTTTGATCAATTCTAGATCTGCACATGCCAGTAACAATAAATTCAAAAAGAAATATAATGAAATAACTCCCGAGTATGTGTCAACAGAAATTTCAAAGTCACAAAATGTGACAAATACAATGTTAATCTTTGACCTCAAACTGTGACCTTGACTTGGAGGTAGGCGACTGGTTTTGCACATGACACATAGTCATAATATTGTTAACATTTGTCCCAAATAATTTCGAAATCCCCTGATCTATGAAGAAGTTATGGGCCGGACACAAAATATACCTTGTAACAGACTATATTAATCTTTGACCTTCAACTGTGACTTTGACCTTGGAGGTAGGCGACTGAATTTAATTTTGCGCATGACACATCGTGTCATTATTGTAAACATTTGTGCAAAGTATTTTTTAAATCCCTTCATGGATAAGAAAGTTATGGACTGGACACGACATATACCCTAAAATAGACAATGTTGACCTTTAATCACCAAGTGTGACATTGACCTTGGAGGTAGAGGTCCGGCTTTTACGCATGACACATCGTCTTATTGTAACAAACAATTGTTCCAAGTTATTTCAAATTCCTTTGATAAATGACATAGTTATGGACCGGACACGAAAATATGACGGACGGAAGGAAGGAGCCTATTTTTATATCCGCCTTTTTTCTTCGAAAAGGCGGGAGACAATAAATGTACAAAGCTTTTTTGACCCTGTATTACGGAGCTCTTTAAATTTAAGAGTGTTACTTCTTCTTAAATTATAAGGTTTAATGTACATTTTTTTAGTTTGATTGTAAAAGGGACAATTCAATAAATAGTGAAACTCACCTCCCATTTCTAGGTTTCTATTCTCATCAAAACACAGTTGACATATTCTTTCATTATGTTCTATATTTTGCCACCTTCCCGTCACACATGGGAAGTAATGGTTTCTGCATCTAAATTTAATAAAAGTCAGCCAGTCAGATTTTTGGAGATTAAGTAAATAGCCCTCAAAGTTAATTGACTCTTTGATAAATGAGTAATTTAGTTATTTAGTTTAGACTTGCAGAGAGGCATGACGGTTTGGAAATGCTGGTCTAATAATATTTGTTTTACTGTATTGCCCACTTTTTGTATTTTCTGATCGTAAGATCAGTAAATACATAGCTAACATCCACGGTCTAACACAAAATTTCCTTACAGTCCTAACAACGCAAAGTAGTTCTCACTCAAAACTGCTTAAAAACCAGCAATTTAAAAGAAAGAATAATTTTTAATGTAGGCATTTAACAAATTACAGTGCATTAAAAGTTTAGATTAAACAATAGAAATATGAGGTTACAATCACAAATTTCGCGGATGAATATCTTTTTACCCAATGAAAAATGTTCGGCTATTTCCGTAAAGCTTCGGATTATCATGAATATCATTTTAATCAATGAAAATTCTATTTTTAGCTATGTCGATTAACGAATACTCCAGAGCGTAGTACACAAATAAATCTGACTGTCGAGTAGTGGAATATATACATGTCGGACTGTTTTGGCGAGAAGATTTTCGCAAAATCATTTTCATCAGTGTTAAACAACAGGTTTATCGTGAACAAAATACCTCGAAATTAATAAGGATTGCAAACACGAAATGGAAATTCTCAATTTAGAATTACATAATGTATTCGTTTTTATTCAAGGTACGTATGTATTACTTCGCCGTGGTGCAGAGGTAAGCGGTCTCGTTGAGGGTGTGAGAGGCCTATGGTTCAAATCCTAGTCGAGGCAATTCTATTTTTTTTCATGCAAAATTCCATATGTATCAATCTCAAACTGTTATAAATAGAAGAAAATCAAAACGCTGTCGCTGCGTAAGATGAATTATAGTATATAAAAATAAACTTATACAGGAAAGTACATACAGATAGTCAGTATGATTTAGATTGCAAAGATCAGAAAATACCATAGAGCTGCAGCACTTTGATTTACTGTGGCGATTATCTTGATTATTCCAAATATCGTTTCGCCCTATTTCATAAAAAAATGTTTTTTTATTCCTTAAATATTTTATCCATATTGATTCAAAATTAGGCATTTCAAACACACATTTATTGATATGATATTTAAATTTTGTTTCAAGTACCAAATTATTTTGTTTCAAGTAACTAGTCTGTTCCATTAATTAATCATACTGCCAAGTTTGGCGTTTAACATATACAATGGTGTTGAACGTCTTAAATGAGTTAGTTTTCTCAAGAATTCTGAATGTTTCCTCTCTAACATCTGATGATTTTCATAGTCCTATATTTCTGCAGAAACCAGAAGAGTTGGATTCATAGTATGGTCAAACTGCTTATTGGAAGAAGTAAATTTTTTATTCTTTTATATAATAAGTTAATGATTTTTTTCTTGTGCAGCCAGATGTTTTCTGGCATTTAGAAAGCTTCCACTGTTTGAGAAATATAAACCTAGGTATTGGCATGAGGATACTATTTCAATGGATGCTTCATTTATTTTGAAAGATAAATTCCTGTCATTATGTGATCTAAATACCATTGCTTACATTAATTTTCAATTACCAGAGTCTACAGCAGTAGGCAATTTTATATATTTTTTGGATTATCACTTACTAAGATTGTGCAATATGCATATGCAAGAATCAATATTTTTAGAAAAATATCTATGTCTGGTTCAATATCAATGAATGTCACTCGCTTGTGACCTTTTTCTTCTAAGAATTGTTCTAAATCATTAAGAAACAGGCTAAACAAGAGCCCGGTTTGAGCCGGGTGATGCTCCCCGAATAGGTTTTGGACACAGGAAAGTACACCTCTTGTAGTTTCAGAGTTATGTCCCTGGAAAAAGTTCAAAGTGCAATAATTCCAAAATTAGGCAAGGCAGAGTTACTGTTCTTTGCACTGCACTTCTAATCAATGTGATCTATCAACCTACAAAGTTTCTTGATGATATCTCTATTGATTTCCGAGTTATGTCCCGGACAACTTCAAAAAGTAAAAATAAACAAAGGGCAATAACTCCAGAATTAGGCAAGGCAGAGTTATGATTCTTGTGCACTGCACATCTACCCATTGAGATATATTTACCTACAAAGTTTCATGTTGATATCTCTTATGGTTTTACAGCTATGTCCTGGACAAGATTTTTCTAAAAGGGGAGATAATTCAAAAATGAGGCTTAACAGAGTTATGGTTTTCTGCACTGCACCTCTACTCAATGAGATCTCTCTACCTACAATGTTTCATCTTGATATCTCTTATAGTTTTAGAGTTATGTTCCGGACAAAGTTAAAAATCTTAAAATTAACAAAGGGCAATAACTCCAAAATTAGGACTAAAAGAGTTATTGTTCTTATGCACTGCACATCTACCCATTGAGATCTATTCACCTACAAAGTTTCATGTTGATATCTCTTATAGTTTTAGAGTTATGCCCCGGACAAGATTTTTCTATAAGGGGAGATCATTCAAAAACCGGGCAAAATAGAGTTATGGTTCTTTGACACTGCACTCCCCCTCAATGCCCTTTACCACTGTATGAAGTTTCAACAAATTATCTCCAAAGGTTTTCAAGTTATGCTCCGGACAAGACAACGGACGGACAGACGGAGAGCATAATAAAACAGGTGAAAGATTTTCCCTTTGATGAGCCCCACAATTATTATTTAATCGCATCATTATACAGTATCGGTACAACGTACTTATAAGACCACTTGATTTATCAAATAACAAACGTTTTATCATCATCAATACATGATTTATTTACATCATTATAATACAAACTTACATCGTCACAGTAACACCATACTGATACATATATAGATTGTAACCAATTCAAAAAAAGCATTTATACAGCAAAGTAGTTTTTATTTTCCTGTGACATGTAACATGCATACACAAGTCACATTTTTATGGATTTCTGAAACAAATTAAAGATCCCGCGGCTCTTTATTCAACATTTGCATACACTATCTACTTATAGGCAAATTTTGAAACGAATAAATCTCTCCTTCTGTAGAAAGGGCAAACGTGAGTTTAAGAACGTTTAAATAATTGTTTCAGAGCGTGATTACCTGAAATTAAATTCTTAATACCTGAAAAAAGTATAGCTGAATGTGAAATTATTTGTCATAAATAGCAAAATGCAAATAAGGTAGTGTTTTGACTTCCAGTCGCCAAAAAGGATCAGGGGAAAAAGATGATTCGGGTTATTATACTACAAATAAAGAATAAACCCACCCCTCCCATAAACTGAGAAATTTTGAAATCTGCGGTTGAAAATAATGTTATTTCATTGACTTTCTAATGCTTTTTTATAATTTAACAACTCCATTCTAGATTTTGTTCACTTACAATTTATGTCATCAAGTTGTAGTATTATTTTTATTTAATAAGGAATTTTTCCAACAATGAATCTATTTTTAGATAAAGAAAGAACATTACATTTTAAAAATATTCAAACAGCCATATAGAAAAGATTATTAAAAACCAGTGACAATCATTTCATCTTACAATCTAGCTATACAAATGTCTTTAAAATGTCTCGAGCATTCTTAACAAACAACCGTTGAGGAAACTAAGTCAATAAGTTGCTTTAAATTGGGTATGTTAACAGTATGAAGAAACTTGGAAAATAAAGGAAACAGTCACGTTTGTAGTTAAACCAGTTATTCAAACAAAATTCCTTCCACATTATCTTTGTAAAACTTGCCACCTTTTTGAATTCCTTTAAATCACACTTTTCAATTCATCTTTATAAGGGGTTTGGCGAAGAAAACAGGTAAATAAAGACAGTAAATTATAGTCTACTGCGTAAAGCACATATTTACTACTGCGTGTACTTGTAACTTATTTTTAAGACGTTGGAAAATTAATCAAGCTAATCAAGTATGCCACTTTAACCTTGAAGTCATCCAAACATGCAACATGTTAACTGATAATTATCTCTGACAAGCCCCCCCCCCCCCCCCAGGTAGGAGATTAACAACCGGATGTTTTAATGAGAAGTACACTACTGCCAATAAAGCATAACACTGGACCGTGAAAATATTCCGGCTCAGTTAATAAACGTATCTTTGGGCTGAGCTCAGGGCGGGGGGCTGCAACGTTGAAGCAAGGACCTTAATCCGCCACTTGGTAATTTTATCGAAAGCAAACAAATTATGTGTAGACCTTTGGTCTCCATCCATCGAAGATCATTTTTTTGACTTTAAGAATTTGAAAACTTGTTAACCTGAACGGTTCGTTTTTCAGTTCTTCAAAATCAAAGTTTTTAAAGAAACATCCGTCAAGTCTATTTTCAAGACATATTTTTGCAAAGTTTGCAAGACCACAGTGTTTGAAACAATGCTCTATTTCCATTACTGTATATTGAAAAAAGTCTTCCTCTGAAAGATTTTCCTGAAACAGATGTTTTGCTTCATTCATCGTCAGCGATACATATTTGGGTACAGTTTTGGTCGGCATCGTATGTTTTTGCGCTGTTGACAATTCCGTTTCAGGTTTTTGTGTTTCCGGTGGTTTTGGTAGCGGCCGATGTTGAACAGTAGAAGCTATATCGGGATAGTCATATTCATAATCCTCGGAATTTGCCGATTCAGGGGATGTGCCATATTGATATATATCGCTGTCTGCAGAATTTGTCGAAGTACGAGAAGTCGAGTTTTCATGTGATATCTCTGAAACAGCTTTGTCAGTTGTGTCACTAGTTAAGCCGCCATTACCCGATTCTTTCGATTTATCGTCAGTTACATGGTGACGATGTGGACGTTTGGGTATTTTTGGTGGTTTTCCTTCGTTTTTAGCAACTTTTGTATGAACTTGTTTTGCAATCATCAACAACTCTTTGTGCACTTTGTGGAATAGCGATCTCTTTTCATTTGCTCGCTTTAAACATAAAGACATAAAGGAGTGAAATCAATAGATATTATTAGTACATTGTAAATCTAAGTGTATGTCAATCAACACACGTTCTATACGTTTACTTAAAGTAAAGATTTTATTTTATAAACGCTTGATCTTTGCTAACATAAAACTGAATGAATTTAAGGTTTTTAATATCATAAGAAAACTTTAAACGAACATATATTAAACCGGGTGTAAATAGCGCTCTTACTTTAAATGTAATAAATATAATCTTTTTGATGCGAGTGTTGAAGATCTATAAAATAATCTGAAATAATACATAGAGGGGTGCCTGAGGTCTTCCTCCACAAGTAAAGCTGGAAAGTCGCCATATGACCTTTACAGTGTTGATGCCACGTAAAACCCAACCAAAACAAGAGATAAAATAAAATACATACGGTTTAAAAGAAGGAAGCCTTTGACTTATAAATAAATCATTTATTCGATAAAAAATTAATTAATGTACTATAAAGTTACCTTGTGGTGTTCATGGCTTTCACTTGAATGAGACTTTCTTTCTGAAATGTGTTAATTTCATTTTTAAGTTTTACTATGCCTTTTCAGGACATGCAATTTTCATTGAATATCTATCTATTCGTCAACTGAATATTAAAGTATGTGTTATAAATTTTGAGAAAACAAATTTGGTTAGAAATTCAAATATCGTATTTCGCTATTATAAATGCAAAATACAAAGTCATGATATCCACAGCGGAGTAGAAATAACTAAAAATATGAAATTGAACTCATAAATCTTGTTTCGTTTTTGATGATGGTTTTGATTGGGCACACTTATAGACACAGTAGCCCGGCTTACACAGATTTGGAATATGATATAAAAAGACAAAATGTAAAAAAATTAGGTCATACGTATTACACAAAAATTAATACTGGAATAACAATAATGCTAAATACTATAAACTTATCCATAATAAAGAGGGATTATTTACCTGGTAAAGGAGGTGGGGGCTCAAATATTTCTTCATAGTCTGTAAAAACTTCATCGTCAGTGGAATCTGTGGATAGAAGAAAAACTTTAAAACTGTCTTTTTGTTGTTGTTATTGATTTAAATCTAAATTTACAAAAATACGAGGAATTTGAAGTCTGAATAAACATACATGCCTTGAAAATCTTGCGCTATTGGTTCAAACATATGTGTGTTTCCATGAGCTCGTTTGTAAAAGTCAGGGCTTCTTAACCATGTTGCTTGGCCTTTATCAGGATACATCCAATAGAGACATGTTTCAAGGAAATGTGTATTCTCACCACAACGTTTGTATTTGTTTTCAATATAAAGAGTCTTTTCTCCCTCACTGTGAAGACTTTTCTCTTGAACTTTTAATTCAGTCCAAAGCCCAGGTGGTATAACTACAGTTTTATATGTTTTCGATTCCTTATCTCTCACCCAACCAACGATAATTTCAATATCCTTAAATTCGAGTAACTCAATTGGTCCTTCCACACTAGTCAGTAGTGCACTGTTAAGCTCATTATCCATTAAAATACAGTCTTTAGAAGCAACGTTCTCGAACATAAACACCTTCGGCAGCATCTTGTTACGAACAAGTTCAAACAAATGGTACTTCTTTGTATCTTCAACTTCTGTGCAATTTATGCGATCATTTTTTGAAAAGTAGAAAGATTTATTTCCATCACTACATTCTAACAATATAGATCCATCATTTGGATCATTGAATTTTCGCAGAAGTTCAAGTTTTGATCTAGCTGGAATTCTTTCAATTTTGCCTGAACTACCAGTCGCTTCAGTGCCTTCTCCAACAGAAATATAACGCGGTAATTCTTCCAGAACCTGAAATTTAGTCATTGCGCTTGGTGTCAATAGACGTTTCTGAAGATTAATGTAATACTAAAGCAGATTCAGTAGCATCTGATTGTCCTCTTAAAAACTGTGATACGGTTGTTAAATAATAATATTTTAGTCTCATGGAGGCTTAGCATTAAAAAAAACTTAGCTACACTCAAAGAATGACTCAAAGAATGACTTTCTTCAGATTTCGTCTAAAATGATAAAACATTCACAAAAGGCAGTTATCAGGGGGAAAAACCCATATTGTTGATGGATAGAAAACCTAACGTTCTTACCTGAGACATAGTAGCATACCTTCTCCAACTTCCTGGTCGATGAGCAAATCTGAAAGTTCCAGGATATTTAGCTGGTATGTAAAACTTCTCCCCAACATATGTATCATGCTCGAGAACGTATTCTGGACCATTTTTCTTCTGTATCACATCATTGTCATAATATTTTAAAACCTTTATAAGCGCATATTTTAATTTAAGTTTCTTCTGAAGTAATATTTCAGTTTTTCCAGAAATTCTTCCATGACAATAATCATAACAATCATCCTCTTCTTCGCAAGTCCGCACAATAATCGGTAACTTTTTTGTATTTAATAGTTCGTATATTGTCAGTTTTTTATCTTCAAATTCCAGATCGTTCGCCATATTATATATGTACTTATTTCACTCTCAAGAAAACCATTTGTAGTGTGTTTATAAATGTTATTCAAGTAGCAATTCACGTCTAACAAAACATGTTTAAATTGACATGCAATGCAATTATACAGAGGAGTTTGTGACTTCCTGGTCTGAAAAGTTAAAACCTATGTTTACAATATAAATTAAGTAACAGATGATTAAACATAAAGTATACCACTGCTATGCTGTCATACAAATATTTGCAGATAAAACACAGACGAATGATATACCGGTATCACAAAGTATCTTCCTCATATTCACTGATTAAAGATATGTTAAGGAAGCGCCATTATAAATCATATGTTCTTTTTCAGCAAAGATAACACAATGCGTGTCAGTATGAAATCTGTAATAGATTAATCTTTTAAAGTAAAATCAATACGAGTACTCAATACGAGTACATGATAGATTACAATTTGAAATGCATTATTAAACCTTAACAGCTCGCCCTTTATAAGTAATTGTATAGATGTTTATACCTTCAATTATAAAATTATATATATTGTACCGCTTTCGCGCATGCGCAATCTGCATAGGGCAAACAAGACCATTTTCCTGCACAGTTGCTTAGACAATTGCAACAAGTTACCAGTACACGTTACGAAGCATGAAATGAATTTCTTTAAAAACATCTCTTTTAATAGAAAGGAAAAAATACAATGCTTTCATAGTGCTTTAGCCAATACCTTAACTTTAAAGTTTAAAATCATTCTGAAAAGATCAAAACATTTTAAAGTGCTTTAGCGTGAACAAGAATGTATTAAATGATGCGGCTTACCAGACTTCATCATATGTCTGATTTATAGAGATTGTAAAAGCATATTCTCCAGTATTTCGGATTATTCCCCATTTCTTTTTACAGTTTATGCAGTAAATTTAGAACACCGATACAAACTGTAATATACAAACAGTGTAAAAGTTGTTTTTTTTTCAATTATTCTTTATCACCGTCATGGTACTGAACACAAACATGAGTCAGATTAATATTGTTAACCAGGTGTAAAGGCAAGCGGTCACGTGTTCATCTATATGATACTGTACAATAAACTTAGATTTATGTCATTTATATGGTTGCTGATTTGGTACGCTTTTGTGCGTCTAGTTGGCGCTAGCGACAACACGACAAAGCGCCAAACGGCGCGTTGTCGGACTTTCGTCTTGCCGTCCTGTCGCTAGCGACAACACGACAAAGCTGTCGTCTTGTCTCTAGCGCGGCACGCAAAACGGCGCGTTGTCGTGCGGCGCGTTGTCGCGATGTCGCCCTGCCGCTTGGCTTATAAGCCAGTCCTTCAATTTGAACCGAGCTACAATGTGACATCGCGACAACACGTCGCACGACAACACGTCGTTTGGCGTGCAGCGATAGAGACAGGATGACAAGACGACAGCCAAATGGCGCGTTGTCGTGTTGTCGCTAGCGCCAACACGACGCACAAAAGCATACCAAATCAGCCACCATACATTTAGGTTTAATAAAATTTTACCAAGCATAAATAAACCTCACTTCCTGCTACTCATTTTTAAATTACTAGCATTAATGTTATATTTATTCTTGTGTAGGCTTTGCCTACCTTTCCGTCCAATTAGATAGTATGAACTAAAAGAAATATCTATATATCCCAGTAAACTATTTTTTTAATTAAAACATCGTGTCTATTTCGATAACACTCCGGCGCTCACGAACGAGAGGCAGTTCGATGGCATAGTTAGCTCGATGCTGATAAGAAACACTTCAACGCCTTCAACAGTTGCAGTCACCCGCTGTTCTCCCTCCTTTAAGATGTTTAAATCATTAATCTTTTTACAGTCAAGCTTTTATTTAAACAGGGCCTTATATACGCAATTAAAATAGTTGTGAAGTTTAAATAAAAATGCCTGCATAATTTTATTTTATATATGAATATCAAAGGAAGTTGTTGGGACACGAACAAAAATGCTATATGAAATGAATGTTTCAGTAACTTGTATAAGCTATACATTTTTGGAGAATAACGATTACAGTAGATTTTGCATTCACGACCTCTAAATAAGGAGGTCGGCGTTTAATGTTGCTATCCTTTTCCCATTGACCTTTTCGAAAACGTAACTAAACACTGTTTTCCGGTATGTTACGGATTTAGCTTTGGGGAATTTCATCAAATGAAGTTCATAACACTATTATGTGATATTTCCATGTTCCTATCATTATTTTACCGTTTATGGTGGAAAAACTTGATGTGATTGAAAATTATGAATGTTCCTGTACTATCTATCGCAAATTTTCCACAAAAAAGTTATTTATAATAAAAATCTTTTAAATTAAAACAGCCGTTGTTGCATCAGCCATAATAGATAGAGATATTTTCTGCAGAAACTTATTCACTTTAATAAAAAAAATACCAAAAACATACAGATCGTTTCTACACGCCCTTTAGGAGAATTCCCCAGAGCTGTGTACAAAAAGTACCGGAAAACGGGGTTTAGCTAGGTTTTCGAATTCGTGAGTAGTTTACAGAAATATATAACCATTTGTATTGCACATCAGGATGTTCAACAAACACAACCAATACTAATATAAGTACTGAGCTGGAATCGGATTATGCAAGTCTGCTGCAGGAATTGTCCAACCAGGGATGAAAAATGATACCCGCACCCCGTTCAGTCATTATAAACATTTACTGTACTATATCTTGCCACCTTAGTTCGTTCACGACCAGTCAGAAACTGCACTGTAGTAGCTAGTAACCACATAACATAATTTTTTATGCCTGACTCAAGTGGAAACACGGTAAGTGCGCATATATCTCGCATGGAAAAAATGTTAGGCTTCAGGTTCATTTATGTTCACCAGTAATTCCAGCAACTCATCTGGATCATCTATTTTCCTAGACTCTGATGAGATCACTAGTGTCAATATTCTTTTTAAAATAAGTAATGCCGTTTTTTAAGTAGTGTATGAAATAAACAAACAACCAAATAAGTTTAAATTTCTAAATCACATACTTGAATATTAATGTTTTGACAAAATGTATAGCCCTTTAAAAGATCTATTGAAAAAAAAAATTTTTGACCAGACGATGGCTTCCAATGCCGTTGAATGTATTAAATGATAAGTGGGTTATCATAATGGCAATAAATCTTTTGGTGATCTTAAAAGTGAATAGATGATTTAGACATAAACAAGTATACATGGATTGTGTGACATTGACCACACAATAATAATGAATATACCTAAAGGTTGTTCTTCAAATCATAAGACTATATAATTGGATTTTAAACACGCCAAATAAAAGTTCAAACATGTTCAATTGTAACTGCGGCATAAGTGACTACCACAATGATCTAGGTTTTACTTTACACCTAATTGTTTCAAATTATAAAGCAATTAGCTAAGCGGGTTCTCTCTAGATGTTTAAAATTTTAATGAAGACTTTTAAACAAAAAATATTAAGAACAGAACAGAACATATCTTTCTTTCATATTAATAGTTATTCTTTTATTTACTAGCATTCATTTATTCATTTATTAATTGTTTTTTTTGTTCTTTGCTTTTTTTATTTATTTATTTATTATTTCAATCATTTTTACACATTTACGTCAAGGTTTGTAATCGTTTGCACAGTTAAATCTAGTGTTCAAACCTAATAGCCCTACAAAACGATGTTTAAATGCTTAATATATAAATAACACAAAGGTTTGTGGGTAACAGTAAACATATCATCCCGAGAGAAATGTTGCTACCAATGGCGTAAGCCGAAGATAAATGAATGAATTGGGGGGGGGGGGGGGTCATGAGGGCTTCAATTAATATTCCATCATTTTCAGCCGTCATGTATGGCGTTTTGTCTTTTATTACTCCAAATAAATAATGTTTTAAACTAAATCTAATTGTAACAATTTGAGCCAACAGAAACAATAACTCAAGTATCCTTACCTTGCAAGTTTAAGTGTACTTGAAACGTTGTTTTTCTTGTATTCTATTTTCTACCAGTCATAAACATACAATAAGCTGTGTTTCATTAAGAAATCAAAACACAATCCTATTTACGTTTATGATCAGTGAAATTTGACCCTGTCCCGTCCACGATATGATTTTTGACAATGTGCAATTATGATATTTTACATCTGAATTGTGTTGTATATCTGTCTACAACACGGTTCATGTTTCACTGATTAAATTCGTTAAATAATCTTTTGTTTTATGCTTTTAATCGTCTGCTAGCTCCATGTTGACTCGTGAATCGTGGCGATTTATATTTTCGACGTTCTTATATTTTCGATGGTAGTCATTTATATTCGAATAAATTATGATGGATTTTTTTAATGTAAACAAATTATGCTGTATCAGGTAAACCCTTTATCACAATGTTTCTGATGGTCAAACACATGTATTTTCTTATTTCCTAAACACTCTGCTGCTAAGAAACACAAAAATGAGACGATTTTTACATCATCAATTCTCCCAATTGTCAATTGACATGTCAAATTTAATGAACAGGGTATTAACCCACATCCAGGGCAAGTAATATATGTCCTACTCAGCAAGTGACCTCAATGAAGTTTAGGAGGAGACAGTAGAAAGAGTTGCTAAAAGGTTTTATGTGTCTATCACAACCATAAAAAATAGAATTAAGGGTATCTTTGATGTTATACTTCGTAGATAAAAAGTATGCTTGATGTTTGCTGCGTGAATGTACAGTATGCTTAATGCTTGATGTTTTATTGCGTGAATGCACAGTATGCTTGATGTTTTACTGCGTGGTTGTACATACAGTATGCTTGATGTTTAACTGATTAGACGTACAACTTTTTGATGTTTTATTGCGTGAATGTACAGTATGCTCAATGTTTTACGGCGAGGTTGTACATACATTATGCTTGATGTTTAACTGATTGGAGGTACAGCATGTTTGATGTTTTACAGCGTGAATGTATAGTATACTTGATGTTTTACTGCGTGGATGTACAATATGCTTGATGGTATACTGCGTGGTTGTACATACAGTATGTTTGATGTTTAACTGGTTGGAGGTACAGCTTTTTTGATGTTTTACTGCGTGAATGTAGAGTTTGCTAAATGTTTTACTGCGTGGATGTTCAGTATGCTTGATGTTATACTGCGTGAATGAACAGTATGTTTGATGTTTTACTGCTCACATGTACAGTATGCTTGATGTTTTACTACGTAGATGTGCAGTACGTTAAATGCTTTTTGCGTGGGTGTACAGTATGTTAGATTCTCACTGCGTGGATGTATAGTATGCTTGATGTTTACTGCGTAGATGTACAGTATGTTTGATGATATTGCGTACTTGTACAGTATGCTTCATGTTATACTGCACAAATATTCAGTATGCTTAATGTTAAATTGCGTGGAAGTAGAGCATGTGTGGTTTTTACTGCGTATATTTACAGTATGCTTCATGTTATACTGCGTGGATGTACAGTATGCCTGATTTTTTACTGTGTAAATGTGCAGTATGTAGATTTTTTTACGGCGAAGATTTACAATATGCTTGATGTTTAACTGCGTGGAGGAACAATATGTTTGATGTTTTACTGCGTGGAAGTAGAGTATGCATGACTTTTTACAATGTTGATGTAGAGTATGTTTGATGTTTTACTGCTTTGATGTACAGTATGCTCAATGTTTTACTGCGTGCATGTACAGTATTCTCAATGTTTTACTGCGTGCATGTACAGTATGTTTGATTTTTACTCCGTAGCTGTACAGTAAGTCTAATATTTACTGCGTGAGTGTACAGTATGCTTGATGTCTTACTGCGTAGATGTACAGTATGCTTGATGTTTTACTGCTTTGATGTACAGTATGCTCAATGTTTTACTGCGTGCATGTACAGTTTGTTTGATTTTTACTCCGTAGCTATACAGTATGTCTAATATTTACTGCGTGAGTATACAGTATGCTTGATGTTTTACTGCATAGATGTACAGTA